CATTTTATTTTAAATAGCTAGTAACTTATCAAAATTAATAAATAATTTTTTTATAATTTAATTTTTGTTAATTTTTGTTTGAGAAAATAATTTAATCATTAAAAGAAACAAATCAATTTTCAAGCTTCTGCACATAGAAAAATCAAAGACATTAATTTATTACTCGTACGTAGTGTGGGCACACACATAAATTGCTTAATGTTAAATTTAATAGAACTAATCACATTTCCGATTAAGGTTAATCGTAAGAATAATTATTTTTATACATTTAACTCTGTCTTGTTGGGCAGAATATAAAGAATTAAAATTTTAACTTATTACTCATACGTCGTGTGGGCACTTACTTAAATTGCCCAATGTTATTTTTAATAGAAAACGACTTTGATAACCTAGAAGTAATTACACATCCGCTTAATAATAATTTTATGATTCATTTTTTTAAGACTTTTAATGCAGTCTTGTAAGGCAATGTATAAAGAATTTAAATATCTCAATCTCCAAATTATTTCAAACTAATTTATGAGCATAGATCAATCCAATCCATAGACGAATCCAATCGTGAAATTCACAATTCAGCCTGATTTATTTCAGTGAACAGCACATGGGGAAACATCGAGGGGCAAGCCCCTTTCGGTTTTGTGGGGATATGTGGTGGCATGAAAGGTTGGGCGCGGTTTGAGTGGGTTAAGATCCGCTTGGCCCTGCTCTGGCAGCCATATGTTCCATTAGCTTTTTTAAGCGCCTATTGCCACTGCTGAAATTTTAACAGATTTTCTCCTCCTGTTCCGCTGCTGTTTTGAACATTGCGGTTGAAATTTTCGCTAACCGACAACACGAGTCAAAAAAAATCGAAATAGCAACCGGCAACCGGCAGCCGGCAAAAAAGACATCTGAAATGGCTGGCTTATGCAACTCCAAGTACTCTGACAAAAAGATTGTTTCCATGGCCGCTAAAAACTGAGCAGACAAAATTTGACACTTTAATGGATGGCTTGGTCTTTGTATATAAATCTTTAACAACAACGACTTTTAATGTTTTCAATTTTGCCTTTTGATACTATTCGCTTGTAAATACATTATTTGTTTTGTTTTTGCAAAAGTAAATAAATATACAAAACATAATAACCAGTAAAATTCATTAACATATTTTTGGGTTAATTTTAAATAATTTTTGCATTTTAAAAGTTGAAAATAAAATCAATTTAAGCAATCTGAATAAATAAATGTTATATTTATTTAAAGAGCTGTACTTTTGCCAACCCTCAGTTCACAATCAACACACAATCTGAAAGAGCACTAAAGCGTGATGGGCTTTTGGGGACTGAACTCCTAAACTGGGCAATAGCGTCGCCTTTTGCTTATTTGCATCGATTTGCGGGGGCAAACGACGGGGGCAAGCGATGGTTTTGGATTTGACACGGAGGTCCAAAGGGGGTGCCAAGTTCTGCGGAGCTGTTTTGTGGACTCGTTAACATCGCCATCGCCGTCAGCTGCACCTGCACCTGCACCTGCACCTTTCTGACGCTGCAGTTTCGTCCTGTTTTGTCCTGCCACACGATGCCGTGTCATGGAATTCTGAGCTGAGGACGCGTCAAAGTGCAAATGAGCTCAACGATGTCTGCTTTAGTTCCCCCTCCACCTTCACCACTCCGCTTGAAGGATATACAATCAGGAGGACTCCAAGCAGAGACGCTGGGCAAACACAATAAATGCATTCATGCAATATGCATCAGGTAATCTCGTTGCTTTTAATCGTTGTTTGACATCAAAATTACAATTTTCTTAAGACGCTTAGCCCATCTACAAGTATATGGCATTTGTATGGAAAACGTATTCACTCAATGGCAGATGTTTGCTTAAGCTCCGCTTTTGAGGGGGTTAAAAAACTGGCAACATCTTAAGAAAGTTTCTGGCCATTCTCAAATAGCAATTTCTATGGCACAAAAGAATCTGTGTTCTAACGCACCTTTGCACTCTTTTATTCAAAAGAAAAATTGATGCCGCAATGGTTTTGGTTTTAGGACAATTCCTCCGTTTGCCCATCTATCCAACTACACTTCCTGATTATGGCTGGAATATTTTGAATGGAAACAATGGAAACAATATATAAGATATACCCTTTTACTTTATTGTGGCAACTTTAATAAAATTTCTATAGAGTCATAGAAACATTTAAAGGAAATTGATGTGATATCTTAAAACAACTAAGAGGAAAAATAATAACATCAACAAATTTTGTTACTGAATTTATTTCTGTTAGGTAGTTATTATTTAGTTAGCCTAACAAGTCTGTCTTTCCGGGTAAGATGTCGAGCATCCTGGGAATTAGTTTCCTGGTTCAGTCTCCACTTGATCCTTCTATTGATGCCCCGACACGTTGCAACAATCGCTCACTTTGACGGCTGCCTATTGTTTGCAGTTTTCCCACCGCTGTTGTTCACTTTTTAGTTTTTCCTTGCTACTTTTGTAATTTTTCTCGTTTTGTTTGTTTCGTCGTCGCTTTTCCTAGTTTTTCATACTCTGTTGTAACAATAGAGGTTGCTGGGAAATTGGGGGTTTCTGTTGGGGCCAAAGGACTTATTGAATGGAGCACTACCACTGCCCTTCATTGTGGTCAATGCTAAAGGCTGTCAATAGGGCATCTTGTGTCGAGTAGCCTTTTTGAGTTTTCCTTGAACTATGAAGTGTTTGAGCCTAAACGGTAAGGTGACATGGGGCAGTTAAGCAAGTTTGTATAAAAATTTGAGATGATTCGGCCATTAAAAAACAACAATATAAATGTTTTCGGTTAATTACGGAAAACATGAAGGTCGAAAACAGTATGGATTACCAGTAAAATGTACCTTAATTGCATCAAGGAAACTTAATGTGGTCAAAAAATGTACAATGTCTTCTATTATCTATTTCATATTTAAAAATTTTGTCATCTAGGACGACACAACTCAACAAATTCGTTGCTTTTGGGCATTATGATGCTTCAGCTGGGAAATAGCCGAGAAGGTAAATTTCCTTTTGACCATTTTCGATTCCATCCAGTTTCTTATTTACGTATTTGTCATTGTCTTATCGAGCAGAAGACTCAGGTGTGTTTTGAGAATGGGCAGCTGGAACAGAGCCCGATGCATTCAGGTGAAACAGTTTTGCAATTTCACGCGGCCCCAGGCTTTTGTCCCAGTCTCTGTCTCAGTCTCTGTCCCACACAGTGGACTTAATCGCACCAGCCGTCTCTGCCACTTTTTGGGGCAGGTCGAACAACGTCAGCAGTTGGCTGGAAGACAAATGGAAAGCATTCGCTTGCTTGGCTACTGCAGGCAGCAATTAAAAGATTTTCATGCTGCTTCAGCTGCTTTCGTTTTCCGTATTCCTTCATCCTTCATTGCCCACCCACCCACTACCCTTTTCTTCCCTCCGACAACTCCACCCATTGGGCTAACACAAATTTTTTGCTCTTGTCTCCATTTAGTCACTGTTAGTTTCAACTTTGGGGGTCATTTGTCTTTTTGAAAAACTTTTGGTCTTACTTTGTTTCGCCAAGTTGCCATGTCATTGTGACGGGAGTAAGAAGGACACTCACACTCACACTCGCTCACTGTCTCGCTCTGGTCAGTTTTTTACGGTTTTCGCATATTTATGTTTTGCCAAGGGATGTAGTAGTGGATGTTTTTAACTTTATAGGATTCCGAACAAGCTGCAGGCCGGGATTTATACACTTTGAGATATATGTATGCCGGTTATAGAGAAGCCGAAGATAAAAACGGACTACGTACATTTGGCAAAGTAATTTTAATTACCAAATTTTTTATTTTTATATTTTTTTTAAAGAGTTATTAAACGATGGTTAAATAAAAAATATAAATATTTCGTAAAAGGTCTTCATTAAACAGCTGCAATGGTATAAAATCTTCGGATTGCGAAGTTTGCTGCCTTTCTTGTTTTAATATGTAATTAATACAAATGTTTAAGAGCTTTTCGATTATATTCTTTAAAATTATAGAAAACAATATTAAATACATAAGTGAATTGTTTCTCGAGTGCCACAAGTTACAAAACAAATGATAAGTATTAACCACAAATAATTGAAACAATAATTTAGCTTGTTTAATATGAAAGTTTTGAGGCAGTTTTGAATTTAAGCTCAGGCTCTTGAGCAAAAATGGGCGAAAACCGATGGATTCCCTTGCAGATGAACAGGGAAGGGGAAGGGGGTCCTTCACCGGCACTTGGGTCATCCACAGAGAGCTGTGAACCACAATAATGGTATATGACCTCGCACTCTGCACTCACACGAGTGCATTGTGTATGTGCATGAACCGCAATAAACAATATGAATTTATATGCGCTCGGAAACATTTTAATTAATCACTGGAGGGCATCAATTGCATTTTGTATGCTAATAATTTGCGCTATAAATATTCCGAAACCCTTTGGACGCCGCTCCAATCAGCCCTCTAAAATTCCCGACCCGCGGAAATCATAAAGGCCTCATCTACTATTCGATTTCTTTATTACTATCCCTCTCCGCCTTTTATTGCTTGCATTTTAAAATGAATTGATATTCAATTAAGCTAAAAATTTCTCTCCCTCCCATGGTTCTGATATTCAAAACACACACAACCAGTAGAACGCAGCAAATAATAAATATTTATTTAGGTTTGCAGTTCATATTTTATACTATTGATGCTGTTGCGTTTGCTGTTGATTTATTTGTTAACTGCACAGCAGAAAAAGTTAAGCAAACATTGACGGAAGCGGAAAAGGAAATTTGCCCTGAGCTACCACGAATTTTAAGTGCATTATAAACGCGTTATTTATATTACAATATGAAGTTTTGTTTGGGAATAGTTTTAAAATGTAACATGTTTATCACGACCAACACTAAAAAAGTACTTTTTATTTAATTCAATATTAACATATGCAACTTAACCATACTTAACGACTTTTTTAAACCTACTCAAATGGTATTATAGTTTTATTGAACGCTGTTTATCTGCCCGTCCATACGTTCTACCGAAAATATTTTTAGCTTTAGCTTAATTTGGATGTCTAGATAACACTTTTTTAAATGCCTTTTTTTCTGTTTTAGGTAGAATTATATAGAAGTCGGAAATAGCCGGATCGGAAGAATATATCATATTACTACCAACCGGAAAAAATAATTGCAAACAATTTAAAATGTCGTTTTTTCAGTACTCATTATCAGAAACTCGGTCTTTAACAATTTAGTAAAATGCATTTTTAAATTTAAAAAATTAACGGACTTAATCATATACCTGCCATAGGAAAGATAGAAAAATGTTCTGTACTAAAAAAATAATTTACCTGAAAGTTTGGTTTCAATTAGTTTGTCTTGAAACTAAAGTCATAAAGTATTAAAGTGCAAGAATTAGTTAATTAAATTTTTACCTTTCTTTTTATGGAATGCTTACAAATTGAGTTTTACGCCAAAACAAAATTCTTCTTATAAACTAACATAGAATTTGGAATTGCCCCTAAATGACACAGCCCGCTCGAAAACCGTACATGATGCCTAGCTCCCGGGAGATCCTTTTGTTGATGAGGCCATTGGTGCGGCGGGTCTGGGGGAAGATTGATTTGCCGGGCTGCTTGATGCCGGGCTTGTGGACCAGAAAGCAGTTGTCCAGAATGTGGAACTCGTAGTCCAGGACACACATGGCGTACGCCTGCGTCATTTTGTCCCTCTGGCCCTCCCAGGTCAGCCGCTCGTCGTACGGCGGATCCTCGACGGTGCCAATGAAAATTGGCTCCCACATGTTGTCCGAATCGGAGCGATGGCCCACATTGAAGACGTTCAGATCGTCGGATGCCTGGGTGGCATTGATCCACTCCTCCAGTTTGGGTCCTCGATGGCAGACCTCGCAGATTTGCATGTGAAATGGAAGGGCTTCGCCCGACTTCAACAACTTTTGCAACTCGGTCTTGGTGCTCGGAACTGAAACATTGGACATTACTTCAAAAATACGCAGCGCATGGACCACCGGTGATGTGGGCTGCTGTCCCGGCCTTCCAATTACCTGTGAATAGAGTTATATTTACATCACGTTCAAATATCTTTTGTTGAGCTTAAGTTAAATTTTTGGTGAATTGTAATAATATACTTATTTATTATAAATCATATATGTTCGAAAACAATAAAGCTCTTTAGATTTTTTGATGAATCAATCATTCCTGAGGCAGCAAGATAAGCTTTAATACCATAACACAGCTTTAGAACACGAAGCCCAATGGTTGGTGTTTTAGGAGAGTGTGAAAAAGTCTTAAGTCTTAAAGTAAACATTACATGTCGGCTTAAGAAGCTCAAATAGGCGGGAACCAATCTGGGCGAAGGATACAGCTCGATGTCCGAGGCCAGGACGAAATGGGTTAGCGAAGCCCTGCGTGCAATGTTGCGTCCCAAATTGACGGGGTAATCGAGCTTGGTCCGTGACCTGTACATATTGCCTTTGGCTACATTCACATACGGCGGTGGGGCGTGGCAGTTGGCCCTTTTCCTCAGAGCCATTTTGGGCGAAAGCACCACCTGGGGCAGGTGTTCCACGTTAAAGTACAGGTGGAAGCTGGTCAGCTCGCGAACCAAGTGCCTGCCAGGATGGCACTGCAGCAGGTACAGGATGCTCTCGAGAGTGGGACCGAAATCGGCGCCAGGAGCATAAATGGCCAGGCTGAGAGGCGATCGCCAGCGTTCCAACAGAGGCACCACATTGTCCAGGTAAGTGTAGTCCGCATGGCTGGTGTATGTCACATTTGCGAAGCACAAAAGTGGTCCGTGACCCGCCATTATGTAGTTCTCCAGCACCCAGTAGTCACGATATATCCCCTGGCTCGACTTGTAACCCTTGTCCTCGCAGTTTACGAACTTTCGCAGCTTCAGCAAAGTGGCTTCGTCCAGGCAGTTGACATTCAAAATGAGAGACAGGATAGCGATCACAATCAGAAAGTTCATATTGTTCTTCAAAGGCCTACAATTTCCTTTCCAGAAACCTAATTTGAGCATGAAATTTATTTCCCTGAGAACTTTGTGACTTTTTTGTTTTGTTATTAAATGCCTTTTATTAATTTACAAAACGTTAATCTAGAAGTTTGTGTTAGTGTTTTGGTAACAAATAAGAAAACAAATCACGGGACCAACAAATATAAATCAAACGTATTATATGCATTAGTGCATGAAGCTCGCCTTTATCTTTTGTTTTACCTTAAAGCTTTAAGAATCATTTAAAACTCAATTAGGCTAACCTTTCCCCAAAGACTTTCCCCCCAACCAGTTGAACCAAACGCCCAACAAGAAGTAATCTGTTTCGAATGGGGTTTATTATTGATTAGCAGAAATTTTAATATGCAGCCTGCGCAAATAAACAATTAATACGGAAAATTAATGTACATTGTTCATTGTTATTCATTGTAAAAGGTAAATCCCCAAACCCGGCCGGCCATCCCAACCTGCCTTTGAACAGTAGGCGTGGACAACAAATTTTAATTATGCGCCAGTTTTGGCTTCTATTAGGGCGCGTGATGGAGGAGGTGGTGTGTATATAGATTATGTATTTGTATGTATATTGAAATATTAGTAATTACGAGTTGAAAATTCATGAAAATACAATTTGCGATTATTGTTATTAGTGTCAGGCAACAGGCAGGGCGCCACCGATGAGAGTCTCTCCGTTGAAAACTTTTGCCAGTGGCTGGTAAAGTTCTCACTGTGCGGTGAGGAGCCAAAAGGGCGAAAGGACAAAGGACGCAGGACGGCGACAGCAGCTGAAAAATTTATAAATTCAATAGCACCTAATTAAAATTAAATCTGAAAGCTTTCTGTATCGACGATGGGGCACGGCTTAGGCAGTCACCATTGGAAAAGCTATAGCTACAGCTACAGGATACAACGCAACAGACCAGACCAGAGCAGAACAGAAGGAGAGTTGGCCAAGGATACAGGGCAGGATATGCACGGTAAATGCTGTAGCCGGAAATGAACACGTGCTGATGTGTACCAGAAGTGCACTTGGCGAAAAAACTAAAACTAGAAAGCAACTACAATCACAATGATGCTGTGATGGCTTTAGGTGCTATTTTTAATTTGTAATTTTATTATTATTATTTATTTCATTTACATATGGAAGAAATTTTTTATTCGGGCGTGAATCAAAAAAATTGTATTTTTCACACATGAACATGATTTTTTCGCTGCTCTTCTGGAAAATATTTTTTAAACGAATTTATTACTAACTAAATTTTATAAAATTTTCGTTTAGGCAGTTTGCTTCACTCAAGTTGAGCCAACATTTGTACGCAGTACATAACAAGGTTTTTGCTTGGTTTTTATAACTTTTACCAAACCTACCAGCGATCGAAAAAAAATGTAATAAAATTCTATTTAATATGGGTGTGGGTGCTGGAATTAAAATGTTTTACGTTTTATAAATGAAATAGGTAGTAGCCTGCAATGTGGACATTATTGAGTAACCTAAAAATATGAACGGAACAGCTAGGTTTTGGTGTTCGTGAGGTGTAAATTTATGAATTTACATACGTTGTTTATTTTTGGCAGTGTGTGTGCGCGGCATGGAAAACTTTGCCAACTGAAACGTTCTGTGTGTTTATTTATGAACCGGCGTTTGTTTGCCCAGCCAGCTCGACGCCGTTTTATACCTTTCCCTATGGGTGGCTGTGGGCTATATTAATTATTGAAAGATTTGATATCGGCTTAAAGTTACGTTCGCCGTCTGTTGCTCTTATTGTTCCAGCTTGCTGCACCTTGCTGGCTGTACCACCCACCCACCCACAAATATTGCTCCATCCACTCACCCTTTACCTTTTACCTGCGCTGGAAAACCAACTTACTTGTCGCATACATCATCATCAAGACAGTGCCAAATCTAATTTACCTTGTCTGCCTCTGCCTCTGCCTGACGACTCTGTTCCTTTCCCCCCCTTAACTTTTACTGAGCTGGCTGCACTTAGTCCTTCATCCAGGCGCCTGGAAACGAACCAATAAATCAGTTTATAATAGCAAAGAAAAATAGAGAAGAACTACACCGAAGTAAGGTGCAACTTTTGATGCAGGACCAATCAATGGGCCCCCGAGAGAAAGTTGAAAGTGTTTTTTTCCAAAGAAATTATATTTACCTGTGCGTTGGACAGAAATAAGTCAGGGTAAAAGAAGGGAGATGCATCAAAACCCGGATGGATAGAAGGACATTTGACAGTTTCATGGAGAAAATAAAACCTAGTTGGTAATCGAAATGGATACGTTTGCAGGGTCTATAATTATAATCTTTTCTGCCTAGCTGAGGATTAAGTTTCAATGAAATGAAAAGGAAACAAAATTAAGGATTACATGTTTTCAAGTAATCAGAAAAGTTTGGTTTTACGAAAATATTGTAGTGGAGAAATGCTAGCAAAAATGAAACATTATTGGTATTCGAAATAAATCCAGTTCCAAGGTCTATAATTATCCTCTTTTCTGCCTGGCTGCAGATTTAGTTCCAAAGAAATTGAAAGGAAACCAAATAAAGATTTACGTGTTTGAAAGTAAGCAGGAAATTTTGGTTTTACAAAAATATTGGCAAAAGACAGTTAGGACTTTTTTTAAATAACATATGCTTAAATTTGTAATAAACCCCAAATCAACAGAAAGTTAAATTGCTGTGCAAAAACTTCAATAACAATGTATATTTTACCTAAGATTTAAGTTAATTCACTTGTTGACAATTGATGTTTTCAATTCAAATGTCTTTTCTGTGGGCCGAGTTTCCATTTGCTGGATGAAATGTTTTCTGTTGACGAGCATGGTTCATAACTTAATTTCGGTTTTAGCATTTATCATTCGAGTGAGCCGATTGTTTCAGTCCTGAGCCGATTCACTGCTCATCGTCGAGGCCGGACAATAAAGATACCGACTGACCGGAAGCTTAGCTGAAGAAGCTTCTCTAGTGCGCACTTGAATTTTGCATTTTATTTAAAGTCGAGCCGTAGCCAAGTCTGGCATGTTGCAGATGACATTTAATGTGGTCCTCAGTCCGCCTGTCGACACAATCCTTCCAGGACAATGCTAACGAGGCGGAAGGCGGGACAGGGCGGAACAAGGCGGATGCAAGGGGTGTGGTCGGGTCGAGAATCAGAGGCACGCTGCATATTTTAACATTTCCGGTTTGATTTCATATTCCAAACAAAATGGCCGGCAGACGTGCTTCCGCCATCAGCTGCACGCACCGTACCTGAACCAGATCCAGATCTAGAAACAGAGCCTGGGCCAGGGTCTGGCCAAATCCATATGCACATGACGGGCCCTTGCACTGGCAGAAATAAATGTATCTAATTCACAATATTTTGAGTAACGAATGTCAAACTGTCGGTACAAATCGTTCCATTTCATTTTGTTTTGGTAAATAAATACGTATTTCCGAGTTTATTTGTTTTAGATTTTGTATGTATATACTTAAAAAAAAACAAAGAAGATTGGACCGTTTTAAACCAAAGTATTTTTTTTACAGGTGAAAAGTCAAAAACATTCCAGTGTAAAAAGACAACAGGAGTTGTTTATTATTAGTTGCTTATTATGTTTTTTTTATACTTTTTTTACATTTTTCTCCAAGCTTTTGGGCGCTTATTTAATTTAATATATTTATGTTATTTATTCGGATTTGAGACAAATACACTCTGAACAATAGTTGCTAAACATTTACTAAATAGTTAAATAAAAAAAATTTCATTGAATGGACAATGAAATCAATGTCCTTAAAGATTTGATTTATATCACATACACATAACAACATAAGCGTACAGTTTCTTGTTTATGTGGTTGGTATGGAACTATAATCAATACTCTATTGTTTTGCCTCTATTTGGTAAAAATATTTATTTGTTTACATCACAGATAATGAAAATGGTAAGAACTTGTTAAGCTAATAAAACTCCACGTCAATCAACTTATATTAAAATCAATTTTAATTTCCGAAAAAAAACAGCCAACATCAAAATTTAAGTTACGCTTGAAAATTATACAAAAATTCAACCCTTAAGCAACCCCCAGCTTTGAATATTATTATGTAAAATATTCAGGCGAAATAAGTAAAAATTTTGCTTCTTTATTTAAACAGGCAAAATAAATGGCTTACGGGTATATTTTATAGATGATTTCTCGCAGTGCCGCAAGCTCAGTTCTGTAAACTAGGGCGTGGTTCAATCGACAAATTTATTGTAAGCCAATTGATTAGATCACATGTCCTTTCCATCATAACAGGCTTATGCTGTATAGAGAGATAAAAAAAACAGAATAGAGAGACTCAATGGCGAAGTGCTTGCATGAATGAACCCCTATAATCATATTCGATGCCAGTATATAGTTTTAGGCTCGATTCCCTGCCACTCGCAGTGGGTATAACATTTAACTCTTTAATCTTTTTGATAGGCGAAACGGCGGGCAGGGGCACATAAAAAATTTACCAGTTGATTTTATGCTGGATTAAGCTTAAACTTTATACTAAAAGGAACTAAGCAAGCGTAAATCGAGTTTTTCCCCTTTTTCTTTGGCTCTGAAGGCCCGCCGCTGTTGTTTCCAGTCCCTTTCCTTGTTAAAATAGCTTTAGTGCGGTCGTTTGCCTTCATCTGGCCGGGCCCTGCCCTGAGTCCTTTTTCCACTGCCTTGCCTCCTTCACGTGTGTGTGTGTGTGTGTGTGTGTGTGTGTGTGTGTGTGGGGGGTGTGTGTGTGGGGGCTGAAGCTCTTAAGCCACGACTGACTGATTCCGGCACATTTCGGATGGGATGTCGAAAAATATTTGCTGTGACAGTTTTTGGCCCAAAGTCTCCTCTGCCCCTTTCATTTACCCGTTTTTTTTCAGCTTAGGGGGTTGCATTTCGACCTACCGCATCTGCAGACCATAATTCGCATCGAAAACCCATCAAGAGAATATTTTTGAAAAAAGGCGAGTAAAGAAGACAGAAATAACGGTGCTTTGACGAAGGCAATTTGTGTTCAGGTAATAGCTCTATTATATAATTATTGTACATTATTGTCTGCGGTTTGGTCTGC